GAATGCAGAAAGAGTTCCTGGGTTAAGATTAACTTCTAATTATCTTAAAAGTCAAATACAATTAAGCGAGGGATTGGCAAAAGTGATGCTGTCAGGTTCTGTATCCAGTATTCAAACAGGAAGGATCAGACAACAAGACTAACCCATTTTTTATTTGATTCTTGTCCATTTTAAGAGGAAGTGCAAGTACACCAGCTGTGCTTTATGGAGTAACTGGGCAAACACTGTCCTTGAAAGGTGCCAGAGAGGAACCAGCTGTGCTTTGGCTGCTGTTCTCTTTACCCTGCAGCAGTACTGGTAAGACTTGGGGTCTCCAGATGCAGAGGGGTGGCTGTGCCACAGTGCCGGCCAGAGCCATGCAGATCTGGAGTCCTACCAGAGCAAGACGATGCCCAGTGTGCAGGGCACAAGAGTGATAAATTCCATTTTCCATGCATAATGAAGATGGAGGAGCAACATGCTGCAGTGTCTCTACAGCTTTCTGTGGTAAAAAAGGATGTATCTTTTTGCGTCTATGATACAGCAATGTCCTTAATGTAAGGAACAAAATACCAGAGTTCTCTAGACTTTACTCAGAGCAAAGAGGCTGTGGAAATGGAGCCAAACCGTTTTATTTGAGGATAATACTTGACAGTTCTCTTCTTCCTCATGCCTTTTGTACTCTTCTTGCCCAGAAGAGGCCAAGCAGTGCATTGAAAGGCAGTTAAGTACTGGTCTGATGACTATGATAGAGTCATCAGCAAAGCTGCTTGCACGCAGCTGTGCAGAAGGCAAATAGGGATTCAGGTGGTGGAGGGAGGAAGGACAGGGTGGGAAATGGTTCTTTCCTGGTTTGTTTGAACTGTTTGTCGAAACAAGCAAGATTAAGAAAATTACTCTGATCTTGGATGTAAAGAACATGGGGTTTTGTGTTTGGCAGTAATTAATATCATGACTTGAAGAACATGCCAGTGGAAAAGATCAATGTGCCCATTGCTGTGTCGAGGAATCAAACAGTGTGTGGCTACCTCCCACACGGCACACCTATTCAGGTGCAGCCTGTATGAGACAACCGTTCCCTGCAGCCCTTTGGGGAAGGGAGAGGGAGGAGGGTCTCCACTTGTTTCTTCTTAAAGAGATGTCTCTGCTTCCCAAGATCTGTACTTAGAGTAATTTATTATTGGAAGAACCATTTCTACCATTTTTACAGGAAAACATTGGGAGAATTTAGACTATTTGTCATAAGCTTCAATATTGGCTTACTCAACTTGCTGTGCTTTGCTTTCTGTGGTAGGCACAATGCTGGCTATACTGAAACAGACTTTTTTTTCTTCTCTGTGATGTGCTCCTGAAGTGGGTAGATTGCTAATGATGCAACGAGACCACAGTTGTGCAAAAGCTAGACACTGTCCCTTGAAAGGCAGTACCTGGTTTGTAGATGAGAGAGTAGAAAAGCTTTCAGAAGTAAAATTGCTGTTGAGTTTTTTTAAATAGTGCTATACTGTCAGTGGATGGCAAATGAAAATGGTTAGGTTCCTCACAACTGGCAGGTACCTTGTTTTAGAGCATTGGGAAATTCTGCATCATACTCAGATGCTTGACTTGTCAAACGTATTTGTTACCATCTACTGGTTGGTTTGGTCATTTGCAACACTTGTAAAAACTGAGCATAGCTATTGTAAGCAAGCTTTGGCTGTGGCAGAAAATCATGGTCATGCTTTTAGTTTTTGGGTGGGGACCTTGAAGCTTTGGTTTGACAGCCTGGTTGGCCTAGTTGTATGGATAGTACACAACGGGTCAAAAAGGCCAGTGCCAGACAACATAAGGTTTGGAATAAACTCAGGCAGGTGGTTTGGTAAATACATCTTGTTGTATTAACTTTGTACTGGCAGGATTTGTATTGGATCAGATTTGTCTAAGCTGCTGTGACTTTCTGCTGGTCCAAACCTAACCCATCTTTCTGCACCTGGTATAAGTATGGCCAAAGCCCTTTCCAGATAAATTTTGTACTACTATGTATCCTAAGGTTTTTCTGTAATTTTGCTTTTCCCCCCATGGTAACTGCTGTGATTGATCATGAAACTGTGACTGTACCCTGAAGGCACAGCAGTCATGATACAGCTTGTTGACTGCTCAGGGCTCAACTGCAGGGCTTTGTGTTCCTCCCAGCACTAAGTCCAGTTACATGATGTCTGTTCGAAGAGAGGTGAGAGTGTCGTCTTCAGCAAACAATAATCATCTTTGTAGACTGTAAATTGTAAATAATGATTCTTTGCTATTTTTGGAAGTGATTTGCACTATCAGTAGTTTGTGCGAAGACCTGAACGAGGCAGGCTGGGAGAGCAGGGTGTTTACTGAGTTGGGTTCCTATTGCTGAAGTTGCATGGACTGTTTTCAGCACTCTGGCTTTGCTCCCTCAGGGCTTGTAAATCCCGTCTCCATTTCATCCTTTTCTTTCTCTTTCAGGACAGTTATTCTGAGCGACGGCCCTTGCACACGCTTCTGAGTGGTTATCATGGGCTTCATTGCCTTTCTGAAGACCCAGTTCATAGTTCACCTCCTCATTGGGTTCGTCTTTGTTGTGAGTGGACTGATCATTAACTTCATTCAACTATGCACGCTAGTCCTCTGGCCCATAAACAAGCAGTTTTATCGTCGAGTCAACTGTCGCCTTGCCTACTCGCTCTGGAGCCGTGAGTATGCTTGGAGGGGATGGGAGGGCTCGGGTAGGGAGGGGACAGGCTTTTGTTGCCTTTTTTTTTTTTTTTTTAATGAAAGAAAAAATACATATGCCTGTATACATATACACACACAGAGACACAAGAGACCATTTCCTTAGGAGCCCGAGTCAACTGTGAGGTCTGCAGAGAAAGCTGTATGTCTTAAAGGATCTAGTGTAGATTTCTCTATAGCTGAACTGTGTGATGACTTCAGAGTCCTCTTACACCCTACAGCATCCATTTGCCATGATGGTGTCTCCTCCTGTGAGCAATTTGTCACTCTCTTCTTCTGCCTGTGGGATAGCTCTGCAATAAAGTGCAGCTAATTTGCTCTCCTCTTTCAAGCCTGTGCAAAACTTCCTCCCTGTGGATGGCTTTTTTTTCCTCCTCGTATAATTTAACAGGGGATTAGATTTCTGAAATGAATGTTTAGAAGTCCTAATGTCACCTCCTGTTTCAGCACTGAATCATCTAATTTGTTTCCATTCTCTATCCCCTCCCAGTATGCATGGCCACTTACCTTACTGCTCAACTCAGCATCCAACTCCCACTTTGGGTAACTGAGTCACCTGAATGAGTGCTTAAATTACAACTGAGCAGTCCACTGACAGGCAACCACATTTCTTAAATCATCGATGTGAAGTACCACCAACAAAAATTCTCCAAATATGAAGTCTGTTCTCTTTTTAAACTCGTTGTCCTTGTCCTTCCTGTGTGTTTTTGTCCTGAGAAAGTTGTTTGAAAAGCACAGGAGAAAGGAAATTAAATAGAGAGTGTCAGGCAAACTGTCAGGAGAAAAGGTATTGTCATGGAAGAAATTTTAAGTGCAAAGTTCAAAATTAGCTTGGTTAGAGAGGAGTGGGAGTATATGGGGATTTTTTTTCATTTGCTTGTAGGAATTTCTTAATGTGCTTTTAATATCTAGAATCTGATCTCATCCCGATAACTGTTGTTGCACTAATAATCTGTCTTTTCTGAGGATATGAGCTGCTTGTGCCTGTAGGGCTTGTAGGTTTAAACTCTTGATTTATGCAAATTAGCATTGTGCATCAAAAAATCACATTTTAAATGCCGTTATCTTAGATCTTGTATACAATGGAAATAACCTACACTATTGCTCAAAAAGCCTTGAAGAAGCTGAGCAGGTAACTGGGTTGTGCCTTGGATAACCCCTTGTGTATAGCCCATTCTAAATTAAATGATTGAGAAATTAATCTGTGAAAATGAACGTAAATGTTATATGGGATTGCAGAGTGCTGCTGGCTTGTAATGGAAGAGCTGACATAAGATGCCCTTCAACTATGATTTATAATGAATTAAGTAAGTCGTGTAAAAGCAGCAGTTCAAACGTTGCTATTCATAATGAAATGTATTTCATTATGTGGACGCCTTTTGGTAATGAACCTGTAGGTTGGCATTCTGTTCTGGATGCTGTGTTTTGCTGGCTTAGTCCAAGCTGTCCAGTTTTAGCTGAGGGTGTTTGGGTCAGAGCTGTCTGTAACAGAAGATGCTCTGCCCGTCGGGCATGGGATTGATGTGCAGGGGTATATGTGCAGGCGATCGTGCATCTAGCTACATATCATAGCCTGCTGAAAACTGCACTCTGTTCCTAATCTTTCTCTTCTCAAACACGTATAGCACAGCTTCAGAAGGGGAAGGAGGTAGTCTATCTGGTGTTTGTGGCAGATGTTTGTTTGGGATAAAAACATCTGCTGGGCTCTGACCTCAACATGCAGCACTTGTAACTCATGATGAGTAGTCTGCACTTCATGGTGTCCTCCATCAGATCCTTTCAGATGACTCATGCCTTTGGAGAGCACAGCACATTCGGTTTAGTCTGGTTGCAGAAATAATCTCTCTAACATTGGTACTTTAAACTGAGAGGTGCTCTCTGCCTCTTGTTTGCTTCGTTTCTGGATGTCTCCTGAAGTCATAAACCTGCCTGCTTTGGTGTGTGGGAACCCCGGCCTCAGGATGAGGCTTGCTGTGTTTGTTTCAAGGTGTTGATTGTCCTCTACAGGAAGCATCCCAAGCAGCACAAGTATTGCCATCTCTTTGTTTGGAAGGATGAGCTTGCTCTAAGCACTGACAGGATTGGTGCCATACAAAATAGCTGTAACACACACACTGAAAAAAAGGGAAATGAGCCCACTCCCAGTTATAACTACATCACTTATCAATACGCTTGTGAAGGAAAATCTCTTCCCTTGTGTTAATTCCTCTATCTCATCAACCCCGCTTTCTCTGTAGGCACTCTGGCAGATCTCTAAGCAGAGCTTCCTCCGCTGTTTTAGAGTGAATGGTACAAGAAATGGTCTGCAGAAAAATAATTTGTGCTTGCAGCTGCAGAATTTTTTTTTTTCTGTTTTTGAAGAGGAAGCACACCCATTTTATTTAAGAAAATACAGCAACTGTAGCAGGTACTGGAGATTTTCCTTCTTAGTACATAGACAGCAACAGAAGGGGCAAAATGTTCAGAGTACTACTCTGTGCTTGGTACCAGTACTCCATTCTCCTGGCCACCTGCTTGGAAGAGCATAGCTTTCAACTGAGGACACTTTTGCTGTCCTCTTTCCTGTTTTACTGAGCCAGGGTCACCAGAGCAAGAAAGGTAAGTGATCACAGCATTCACAAAGGAGACAAAGCTGGAAAGCAATGCTAGAAAATGCTAGTTGGTATAACTTATTATTCTGTCTTTCCTCTGCTGTCTTTCCTCTGCTGTATTTCCACTTGACCTGGGTTATGCTTTCTTGATCAGCAAGTTGCATAACTTTGTCATCCTTCAAATGAGTGAGTCTTGAAAATGATACAGGAGAATAATAACCTGCTGGATTAGTGGTTACACAGAATCACAGAATGGTAGAGGTTGTGAAGGACCTCTGGAAATCATCTAGTCCAACTCCCCTGCTGAAGCAGGTTCGCCTAGAGCAGGTTGCACAGAACCACATCCAGGAGGGTTTTGAGAATCTCCAGAGAATGAGACTAACAGGGAATACAAGTGGAAAAACGAGTACTAGAGAAGCCATGTATCTTCAGCAGACCAGGACTTGTTTTCCCTATCATTCACCTAAATACTTAGTTTGTCTTCTCTCTGATGTGGTGCACAATTTGACGTGCCATTGTTTAGTAGTATGGATAGATTACCCTGTTTTGATCCCACTGGTCAGAAGCCCTTGTGCAGGAAGGCACTGCTGCATTTCAAAACTGGGGCCTCCCAATGGGAAGTTGAAACACCGTGTGGCAGAGCCTGATGTAGAGAACCAAGGGGGCACCTTCCAGTTTTGACCCTGCAAGTTTGTAATAGTAGAGTGAGTAGAGCTGAACTTCTGAACTGCCATATTCGTGCAACAAAATCTTGATTTCATCCATATCTCATTGACATGAGAAAATACCAATGGCTACAGTTTGCATGGAAGCAAATCTTCCTATGGGGAGAATGAACTGTTCTCATACTTTTTATAGCCGTCCCATGATACAAGAAATGCCTTCCATCTGTGTTGTTGTACTGAGAGAAATAGGCTAACCATAGCAACTACATTCAGTGCGTGCTGAATTTAAGTGGAAAGACTTTTCTTTCAAGATGACAAAAGGGGAGGTGGAAAATTAGAAGAGTGGGTGACAAGAAATGTTCAGGGTAGTGTAAGGGAGATGCTGGGATTTTGCAAAGCTGGAGAAGACAAAGGCGAAAGGTCTCATTCTTTATTTTGCAGTAAAAAAAAATGATACAATTTACCATTCCTGTCTTTGCCTGGTTATTTTGATAGATTAGCTTGATTCTCTCGTGCTTCTGACTCTGTGTTGATGACTGTAATACAGGACAATTAGAGTCCTGTGTTCTAATATTAAAATCTATTGTAGAAGATGTGTGGCACTGTAGCCCTTTAAAAGCTTTCTATTGGTCTGTTTACCTCCATAAAGCTTGTTTCATGTTGAGTAAAAGCATTAGGCTGCGTCCGTGCATAATTCCTGTTCCACCAGGGAGAAACTGTACTCATTTAGTGGAGCAATCAACAGCTTGGCTGTCTATTTACAGGCACAAAGTTTTGTGTTTTATTTTCCAGTGATCATGAAATTTCACATTCATAGTATAATGCCTAGACTTGTCACTGGTATAAACTTGCTAAATTATCCATAATGCATATATCTAGTGCCCTAACTACTGCTTACGGATGGCGATGTGTTTTGGTCTACAGCTATCCAAGCTCTCATTTCACCTCTACTGGGTTGGATTGAAAAGGTAACAGTGTTGTTGAGAGTTAGAAGAGATTGAGCACTGAATGGGACTGGAGATGAAACTCTAAATGCTTTCTGTAAGTGGTACCCCTAACTCCTCTCTCCATCATGTTTGTTAGAGTTGGTCATGCTGCTGGAATGGTGGTCAGGCACAGAGTGCACCTTGTTCTCAGACGAAGCCACAGTGAACACCTTTGGGAAAGAACACGTCATCATCATCTTGAATCACAACTTTGAAATTGACTTCTTGTGTGGCTGGACTATGACAGAGCGCTTCGGAGTGCTAGGGGTATGTGGGGCTGTAAGCTTTCCCTTCACCTGATGGATGATAGGTCTCTTTAACACCCATGCACATAGTTTTCTTGCATTTGAGTTTGCAGCTATAGCTATCCACTTTTTGTCATCTGAACTTTAATGTCTGTGTTTGATCTCGTTGTACAAATCAGCAAATGACATTTTTGGATTGTTATTTTTGTTTTCCTCCAAGAGTTCCAAAGTTCTTGCTAAGAGAGAGCTACTATATGTGCCCCTAATTGGCTGGACGTGGTACTTCCTTGAGATTGTTTTCTGCAAAAGGAAATGGGAAGAAGACAGAGATACGGTTATTGAAGGATTGAAACGTTTGGCTGATTACCCTGAGTATATGTGGGTAAGTGTTGAGTTCTTCCTCCAGTGTCAACTGCTAGTAATGAAATGGTGACAAAGATACTTAAATGGTGCTGTAGCTTTTATGTATCAGGAGACACTCTGCTCACTGTTTTGCTCAAGTGTTGTCAAGGAAAACCTGTGCTATGTTTCAGGAGGTCTTTTGGGATATGCTGATAAAATGTTGCTCTGTTTGCCTGTTGGTAAGGGAATTCATCTAGGAAGCAGTTCAGAAACTTGCATAGCTGATTTGAAGCTTGATGATAATTTTTAAGTCAGGCTTGTATTTGTTCATTTTGTCTGAACTTACTTCTACCTTAAAGAAAGAAAGAAACAAACCCCAAAACAACAATGCATTTTACTGCTAAATCCATGTAACCTTAGGATGTATTTTCTGAGGTAGGCTAAAAAGACACTTAAAAAAGGGAAAAAAAAAAAAAAGTCTTTTCTGGAGAAGTGATTGAATCGGGGGTGGGGTGGGGTGGAGGGGAGTTGAGGATGCACAGACCATGGATTTTGAGAGAAAATTCTTGTTAGTATATTAATTTTGAAATTGCAGGTTTCCCCAAAAATCTTTATGAGAACATAGGGCAAACTTACCTCTGCACTTGCAGTTACACTTTTCTTTTTTATTTTGATATTATTTGAAGTCAAGGGCGAAGCATCTATGGTTCACTACATGCAATGTTGTTAGATTTTTACTGTAGCAACTCCATGGTATATTCAACCTGTTAACCTTCTTCTAGCTTTGAAAGCAAATGTTCTGATAAATTTACTGGTTTGCTCTTATAGCAGCACATGTAATGTACAGTTATTTTGCTCATAAAACATCTTAAGAGGCTTTTTGTGCATTTTAAGTAATTTTTTTCTAGATTATCCAGTACAGCTTGTTAAAATGAGTAGTTAAGTAGTAAGCCTTAAATAGTACATGGTGAATGCGTCATTTGTGATTTTCTGTCATTACAAAGCTAGTAAAAATAAGAATCTGGATAATGTAGTTTAAACTGCTTAATTGCTTGAATATATGGATACAAACTACATTTAATGTCCTCTTGATTAGTGCTGGGAAAAAAAAAAAAAGGAGAAACTCTACCAATTGAAAAATCTTGCAACCGCACTTCAGTTGCAAATCTATACATTTTAATGATCCTACAATTGAGAACCAAGTACTAGTCTCTTGGGAAAACAACTAGAAAATATAAATGCAAAACATAGTTAGCATTGATTATTTAAATCAAGACTTCCTGCTTGGTAATTTTAAATCATGATTAAAATTGACTCGAGTAAATCAATTTCCTAATCTTTGTGCATTCTAAATGCCACAGTTAGGGCTGCCTGTGCAGCCTTCCTTCGTGAGGCCTTCCTCACACGTGCACTGCAGCACATTCTGCACCTCGCTGGCTTCTTTGGCCCAGAGGGATCGCTGCACCGTTGGGTAGAAGAGGGTGACAATTTGGTGTACAGGAAAGAGCTTGCATTGGAGACTAGGGCTGAGATTGGGGTGTTCCTTGTGCTGTCCTCACCGTGTGGTGAGTGGTGGTGCTTGGTCAGGATTTCATGATGAACGTACCCTCAAGGGCCAAATGAAGGTGGCAGGACTTCGCAGTGAGAGCACCTCAGCTCTGGCAGGTCTGACCCTTCTGGCCCTGGCTTTGCAGTTTCAGCTTCCATTTAACTTGCCTTCTGGTGGGGCACAGTAGATGGATACACTACAGAGAAAGTCAAACAAGAGTGCTGACAAATAGCAGAGGCATTTAACGAGTCCTTTGAACTGCAACGTTGCAGCGTTGCGTGATCCTGCTCTGAGAGAGGAGTAGCAGCCTGACATAGTCCCCTTCCATTGCTTGTATGCCGAGGTTTGTACCTTCAAATGCAGCAATATTTCCATTGCTGACACATAAGGAATGATACCCACCTTTCAAAAAGGCAGGGGTTAAAGAAAAATTCACCCTAGGGCCATCAGGAGAGCTTTGTTTGTCTGATCTTGGCTTCGAGTTGCTTCTGGCCTCTCTCGCAACTAGAACACAGGCAATATAGAGTCTGGAGAAGGACAGATCAATGTTTTGTGCTGCTTAGAGGCAGTATCGGGGGAATTTAAGTCCTTGATAGTTACTCAGGATACCACAGATTGGTGCCTTACAAGATGAACAAGGTAAAGGTTTTAGGGAAAGGCACCATTTTTTATGAACACAAATGATGCCAGAGCAAGGGAAAAAAAATCAGAAAAGATTTGTGAAAACAAACCTGTATTTGAATAGTTCTGGTTGTACAGTACAAATTTTAAATGAGGTAGCTACTGATTAGTACATATTCTTTCATACAGTTGTCGTGCACTGATATTGGATTGCCTTTTTTTTTTTTTTTTTAATTTGTAGATTAGTTCATTGCCAGCCAAAGCCTTCAGGAATTTTTATTGCTTTAAGTAAATGTTTCAAGTGTAATGATTTAGACCTCTTGTCACTTAAATTTGGTCCCAGTGTTGTTAAAATTAAATATAATTGTAAATGAGTTGTGAGGTGTTGCTAATGCCTAACACCTAATGATTGAGTCAATTGAGTGTGTGCGCATGCATGGATGGATGTTTACCTTACACAAATTTTCAGTATTCTGCTTAGTTTCTTTTGATCTCAAGATGTCCTTTCTTTTGCTTCTTGTCTCGTACTAGTTTCTCCTGTACTGTGAAGGAACTCGTTTCACAGAGACCAAGCATCGTATCAGTATGGAGGTAGCTGAATCCAAGGGGTTGCCTAAACTGAAATACCACCTGTTGCCCAGAACCAAAGGTTTCACCACTGCTGTCCAGTGTCTCAGGGGAACAGGTGCTGGCAAGCTGTTCCTTGTTCTTTGCATTACTTGTGAGGTGTTGTTCAGTATGCTCTGTGCAGCACAGTGTGATATGTGCTGTTTGTTACGTGCGTTGTGATTAACGAGCTGGCAGTAGTAAGTGTTCAGCGTGTCAGCCTTTGATTTGTAAATTGCCACGTAACTCGGATACCAGTTTTCAAAAATAATAAGTCTTTCATGTATGTCATTGTTGCTTAGTGCATCAAGGCATCTTGTGTTCTGATAACACACATGGTACATAGGTGGGCACGTCAGGTGGCTGATACAGATAAATACATGTAAACACAAAGGAGTGAAGGACTCTGCTACCTGACATCATGAATGAAAGGCTTTCACAAGGCTCCGTTGCTGTCTAATGCAAGGATGCAGGCAATGTGGTTGCTAGAATTGCTGCTTTTACAGCTGTTCTTTCTTTTTTGGTTCAACAGTTTCAGCAGTGTATGACGTAACACTAAATTTCAGAGGAAACAAGAACCCATCTTTACTAGGAATTCTATATGGAAAGAAATATGAAGCAGATATGTGTGTAAGGTGAGTGTATAATGATGGAGGTGAGGTCTGAGATGCATGCTTTAGCATATTGAAGTGTATTCAGATTTTACAGAGAAATGTCAGGTTCTTCTGCAGGCCACAAAGACCTCGCTGGTTCTCCCCTGCTTCAGTTCATCTTCGTGTGAGATCCTGTGATACCAGCCAGCAAGTCAGAAAGCACTGGACAGACATTTTAAACCTGGGTGTGACCACACAGTCCTTTGAGGGTTTCCCTCTTTTGTGTAGTGAGGACATAGGTCTATTTTTTTCCTGTGCTGGGAACAGAGAACCAACTTGTGGTGGTTTAAACCACTTTTTATTGTTCAGGGGCAGGTTCAGTACAGGTGACGGAAAACTGAACAAAATTAGCAGCAAATGAACAGTTTATTACAGAGGGTTGAACAGGGGAAGGCGGGATACCCCAAAGGGAACCCAAAGTTATACACAGAAATTTTGTGACAAGTAGGGAAAATAACACAAAGAGGAAAGGGAGAAAAAAAACCAAGAAAAAC